TTTTTGAGGATTTTCGAAAAAAATGTCAAATTTGACATGTTTAGAGTTTCACATGACAAAAGGAAAGAGGCTGTTTTCTACTCATTTTTCAAGCACAAACTAACTGCGAATTCAAATTGTCATCATATCTAATAATAATAAAAACTTCCATATGTCGCGAACTTTATCTGTGACACTGTATAATACTATAACTTAGAATAGATACTTCACTGAATCCCAAACTGAGATAAAATAAATATATTTCTCGTTCCTTCCTCTACATAAGTCATCCATCACAATACCTAAAAACGAGTTATTGCAATTTGATAGTCGTCCTTTAGATGTGTATGTATGTATATGAAGTTTTAGAATCATTCAGAATCATGTTTCTGAGTAAATGATTGATTGTGTAGTCTGCAAATGAATGTAGATTATTGTCCAAAACTACGAATTGGTTGAAATGTATGTAATCGAGTTAGTTAGCTGAATATAGTTTGGGAATAAAGGTTTCCACGGCTGGAGTCACGATTTAAAAAAATCGGGCTGCTATAAGCCGTGTTCGAGTAGAACCAGGGGTACCAAACGTTCAGTTGGTACTTCTGGTTCCGTTCGCCCTCAGCCCATCAACCCAGATTTTGTTCTCTTTTATAAATGTAGTGTGCTTTTCTGAGTCCAATGTCCACTTGATTTATAGCACATTCAATGTATTTCATAGTATTTCGCTTATTCATTGGTGTCCCATTATTATAATTTCATTAGGTTTCTATATGGTTTAATTCTTGTTTATAATACTACAGAATTATTAGAATACCTATAATTTGAGAAAGAAATGAAGACGAATTTCTACAAATTTAGTTTGGGTTCAGAATTTCATGTTTTAGAAATACTAAGTAAAATCAATTTTGAATGGATATTCGATAGCAATTACGATTTCACAAATTTGAATAATTTTTTGAGTGTTGTGCAGACTCATGTATTTATAACCTTAAAAGCTAGTGAGAATTATCACTGAGATGGAGAAGAGACAAAACAAATATTATTTAATAGGTTTCGTGGTACCACAACGAATCCCCATCCTAATCTCTCTATTATTTTGTCTGAGATTATACAGTACATTTCTTTAATGTCCCCCCCTTTCATTTTTTGAACGGGTTAACTCAAAAAATTGAAATTTGGGATAATGAAATTAATGCATGAATACTTTAATTTGAAGTGAAATTGACAGATGAAAGTTTCAAGATGGCTACTGGGCGCCATCTGGGAAAAAAAATTAAATGGAAAGAGGGTCTTGTGATCCATCTTTTCGAAGCTCCTGACGAATACTTCACAACCCTAGAATATGAAGTCAATATCTTCACCTACTACAAAATGGCGGAACATTTAATAATTTCCTGAAGACAAACACATTAATATCGATATTTCCAGAAAGATTCCTTTTTATCTATCATGGCAATTTCAACCCGATAAGGTTTGTCAAAAAATGTCAGTACGACAATGAACATCATTGTTCAGTTAGAATATTCTCATTTAATTTTCGGTTTCACTAGTAAAAAGGTACCACGTCAACAATCTCTAAAATGGTCAATTCTTGTCCATTAGAAGAAAAAATTTAAGCAATTTTTATTCACGATGCGACGCATAACTTTCACGAGACCGAAAGGATTTTCAATGAATCCGATTCGTCCTATCTGTAGAAAATATTTGAGGGAACTTGTATCCAAATTCACAACTACCGGTAGTGTACATAACAAAATGCCCCAAGTCATCCGTCCATTCCGGAAGAACAGCAAGTGCAAATTATTGGTGAGATGGTAGTAAATCCTGAACACTACTGTGTCTCCTTCTACTGAAGAGGAATAGGTATCATCCATACAAAATTAAAATGTTACACCATTTAACTGAAGATGAGCCTGATCGAAGAACAGAATTCTGCGAAAATATGACGGAAACCATTGCAAGGAATCCTACCTATTTCCACAATATTTGTTTTAGTGAGGAATGTACATTTTTTTCAAACGGCAATGTTCACAGACAAAATTGCCGTTATTGGAGTGACACCAACTCTCACGTTTTCCAGAAAACACATAATCAATATCCAGAAAAAATTAACGTTTGGGCAGAAATATTGGGAAACCATATTGTAGGACCTCTATTTATTGATCAAAATTTAACAGGGGAACTGAATTTGAGTATGCTGGAAACTACTGTTGACCCTGTCATCACTGAAATCGTCGAAGCGAATCCTAATGAATTCAATATGGATATTGTATTCCAACAATATGGAGCACCACCACATTACTCCAGACAAGTAAGAAACTATTTGGATACTACTTTTACGGGTCGTTGGATTGGCCGTCGAGGTCCTATAGAATGGCCAGCCCGTTCGCCAGATTTGACACCTTTGGACTTCTTTATGGGGCTATTCGAAGCAAAAGGTGTAAGAAGCTGAACCTGCTTCAATATTGGATATACGGCGGAGAATAATAAATATTTGTGATATTGACGTTACTGTTTTCGAAAATGTTCGGCGTGAAATATCGGATAGGCTGTTCTTATGTCAAGAAGTTCAAGTCAAACATTTCGAGCATGTTTTGAACTTACCTCTTATATAATGTAGTTAAATGTCAATGTATTCAGGCAATGATTTTAAAGTTCCGCCATTTTGTAGTAGTGGAAGATTTTGACATTATATTCTAGGTTTGTCAGGAGCTTCAAAAAGATGTGTCACAAGACCCCCCTTTCCAATTAATTTTCTTTCCCAGTTGGCGCCCACTGGCCATCTTGAAAATTTCATCTGTCAATTTCACTTCAAAATAAAGTAGGTATTCATTCAAAAAATAAAAGGGGGGGACATTAAAGAAATGCACTGTAGTTATTGATTATTATTATCATCTCACTCACTTCATATTATTTTCTTCGTGATGGTCCATTGATCTGAATCCATATTCCAATTTTCGAAGGTCATTGATATATTCTTTGAATCTTTCAGAACCGTCCCCACTACTAGATCTGGTAATTTGCATTTTCATCAAGCTGGTATATCTCTTGTGCAAATCCTTAATTTCATTCCGCTGGTCCTTTATCTCTTTGAAAATATGTTTGATTTGGCGATAGTTCTGTTTTGCTTCCATTTTCAATATCAACTTCAAAGCATCATCACGACCACACTTACATGTGGGGCAATTCGTAACAAATTTTTGTAAGTCAACCTTTCCACATTTAACACAATCACAATGAGAACTACGAATCTTTTTCACGAGTTCAGGTTTTGGACAACATGTACAACTGCAAGCTTTGTCGACTTTTTTTTCGTATTCTTCAGAACAGGTTTGCTCGCATTTGTCAGAACACTGAAGAACTTGAATATTTTTATGTTTTTTCTTGAAGAATGGAAAAGTCGTAGAAAGTTTTGTTGGGAACCGTGAGGGTACCCTGGTTTTCTTCTGTTTATTCTTATCTCCGTTTGCTAATTCGGTGAGAAGATTCTTAAATTGCGGGTTTTTCGAAATAGTACAGGCTAGGCACTCATAACTGGAACTTTCTTTTTGAGCCACACCTTCATTACGACACTTACAGTCATACGACTTTTTGTCCCCATAGATAACTAGTTTGATTCCTTTTCCATGGGAGGTTCCTCCAAATTCGTCGGGATCCAACGGTAAACACACTCTTATTTCTTTAGAACTGTCACTTTCAGAAGTGGAAATTTTTTCATCATTTCGTTTGCTCCATTTCTTTTCTCGTTCAGTCTCAAACGATTTTCTTATATTTTTTTCGGAAGGGTCAGTGACATACCTAGGAATACAAAGACATCCCTTGTTTTTAACTGTATCATATTCCACGACTTCTTCTTTTCCTCTGCTGATTTCATTGACAGGTTTGCATAAGCAAGCTATATTTCTGTGTTTAACGTCTGGACCCGTGGCATTCTTGTTTCGTAATTCCGTTTGATGAAGTATTTGACTCCAGTAATGTTGAAAATTATAGTTTTTATCGGATATGACCCTGCAAGATTCTCTGCTCATACTCAAAAGGGCTTGAAGCTCTATACTAGATGGACTCCTCAGTTTTGTGAAGATATTTCTCAATAATTTTTTGCGATGATTCTGGCCCGAAAAACCGATTTCAGAATATTTTGAGTCTACATATTCCAAAGCTTCTCTATTCATGGTCATGTTTCGTGGAGCTGGATTTTGACAGAATGACTGTTCACTGATGAGAGGGCAGCTGATGCATGGATATGAGAGGTTTTTTTCACTCACATTGTAAAGATACATTTCCCGAAATTTTGATTTTATTTTTTGACATTATATTCAATTTTGACATCTTGACATAATGAGTATATCCATAGTTATATTGAATTCTACAGTGCTTTTTTTTATGTCCCCTCCGTTTATTTTCTGAACGGGTCAACTAAAAAAATTGAAATTTGGAATAATGAAATTAATGCATGAATACTTTATTTTGAAGTGAAATTGACAGATGAAACTTTCAAGATGGCGACTGGGCGCTTGACATTTAACTACATAATATGAGGTAATAAGCTTGAGATCAGTTCAGAAGATGCTCGAAATGGTTGCCTTGAACTTCTTGACATATGAACAGCCAATCCGACATTTCACGTCGAACATTTTCGAACACAGTAACGTCAATATCTCTACAAATATTTATTATTCTCTGCCGTATATCCAATATTGAAGCAGGTTCACTTTCTTACACATTTTGTTTCAGATAGCCCCATAAAAAAAAGTCCAAAGGTGTCAAATCTGGCGAGCAGGCTGGCCATTCTGTAGGACCTCGACGGCCAATCCAACGACCGGGAAAAGTAGTATCCAAATAGTGTCTTACTTGTCTGGAGTAATGTGGTGGTGCTCCATCTTGTTGGAATACAATATCCATATTGAATTCATTAGGATTCGCTTCGACGATTTTAGTGATGAGAGGGTCGACAGAAGTTTCCAGTATATTCAAATGAAGTTCCCCTGTTGAATTTTGATTAATAAATAGAGTTCCTACAATATGGTTTCCCAATATTCCTGCCCAAACGTTAATTTTTTTCTGGATATTGGGTATGTGTTTCCCGGAAAACGTGACGGTTGGTATCACTCCAATAACGGTAATTTTGTCTGTGAACATTGTCGTTTGAAAAAAAAATGTACATTCGTCGCTAAAACAAATATTGTGGAGATAGGTAGGATGCCTTGCAATGGTTTCCGTCATGTTTTTCGATCAGGATCATCTTCTGTTAATTGGTGAACCATTTCAATTTTGTATGTATTTCTCTTCAAAAGTCTCCACACAGTACAAGAAGACACCTCACAAACATTCGCAACGGAATAATTAGACTGTTCAGAATTTACTACCATCTCACCAATTATTTGCACTTGCTGTTTTTCCGGAATAGACGGATGACCTGGGGGCTTTTTGTTATGTACACTACCGGTAGTTGTGAATTTGAAATACAAGTTACCTCAAATATTTTCTACAGACAAGACGATTCGGAAAACGTTCATTGAAAATGCTCTCGGTCTCGTGAAAGTTACGCGTCGCACCGTAAATAATTTAACAAACCTTATCGGGTTGTTGGAATTGCCATATAGCAGATAAAAAGGAATATTTCTAGAAATATCGATATTAATTGTCTTCAGGAAAGTATAAAATGTTCCGCCAATTTGTAGTGGGTGAAGATATTGACATCATATTCTAGGGTTGTGAAGTATTCGTCAGGAGCTTCAAAATGATGTGTAACAAGACTCCCTGTTCCATTTAATTTTTTTCCCAGATGACGCCCAGTCGCCATCTTGAAAGTTTCATCTGTCAATTTCACTTCAAAGTAAAGTTTTCATGCATCGATTTCATTATCCCAAATTTCAATTTATTGAGTTGACCTGTTCAAAAAATAAAAGGGGGGGACATTAAAGAAATCCACTGTATATTCAATAACACAATTTTTTTAAACAGACTTCCACAGTTTCGCATGTTTCTTTACAATATCCAAATGCCGCTTTGTACTACAAAGTAACAACCATGTCGTATATATGAAATTGAAAATATAGAAATTTGGAGGAATTTATCTGATATTATACTTCCATTCAAAAAGTTGTGGCACACTCGAAGGTAATGAAGTTACTCCTAATTTCCAATTAATTTTCAAATTTTCATTGAATTGGTTTGATTTCCATCAGCATCAACACTATTTTATTTCAGTTAACAAGTTGTTTTATTGTTTTCAATGAAATGTCCATCACCAAGTGTGCCCAATTTGGAAAATTTCATTATCATAAATTTTGGATCTTCATGAAAGTTGGTACATTCTCTATAACTCAAAATATTGATGAATTTATAGAAAATCTAAAGAGTGAATGAACTAGAGTAGCAAAGGTATATAGCAGATAACAGAAGTCTTCATCTGCTATAAATCGAGCAATTAAAAATAAAGGACATATATTAAAAAATTATCAGTCTATCAATTGCACCTTAAACGGTAAGACCTCATTATTCTTTAGTTTGCACAAGTTTTGACACCTGAGGGTTTGTCGTTCATATGGGATGAAACTTGCTTAACAAAAAATACAGTTTTTTCGAAATAAATAACACTTTAAAATATAGATTTAATATAATCACTGGCTAGTCTCAATCTTTTGTTTAACTTGTAATCTCTTTATTTTCGCCTTGAGTCCATTCTCTCTTTCTTTTATCCTCTTTCCTTCCGATTTTCTCTCATGCTCTCTCCTCCTTATCTCTTGTACCCTTAAACAAAGAATTATTGTTTATTTCATTGTATGATATGAGAACAGAAAATCATACTTTTCTTTTTCTAATCTTATGAGTTCTTTCTTGAAAATGTCTTTGAAATCAATGGAAAATTGCAACCATAATTCAAAGAATGAATTAGGGGGAAATGTTTCCAATGTTCCAGATTTCGGTTTGAAAAGGTAAAATTTCATGGTGCAAATAAATTGTTTATGACAATCTTCCAGCGATTCGAATTCAGATGACAACTGCTTCTTGGAATTTTCTAAAAATGTTGTCATTTTGTCCTTGAACGGCTGAAGATTATCGGGGGTCGAGGCTTCGATGATCTTTTGAGACTTCTTCTCGCAACCTAGAAAAATACATCTATTTGAACACTTTTAACATTTGTGTCTTGAATGAGGTTAATGAGGTTTCTATCGAACTTGTTAAATAACATATTGATATTATATCTGAACCAATTGCGCACCTAATAAACTTATGTATTTCTTTTGAAGGCTACCCTGATCTTAAAATCGCACTATTGATTCCGATATTGAAAGGTGGCGATTGCACTAACATCGAGAATTATCGCCCCAAAACGATCATCAGCGTCCTCTCTAAAAAGCAGCAGTAGGTACTCAAATTGGTTCAACAAGTCCATGATTCAATCAATGAGAAAAAAGTAGTTGTGTGACTACTTGAGTAGAGCTTTCGATACTCTGAGTATTGAAATAATTTCTGAAAAACTCTTCAACATTTGTATCAGAGGTAATATTAATAATCTTATTGTGTTTTTCTTGAATAACAGATATTTTAAAGTGAAACAAAACAATACATTATCTGACGTGTGTTACAACAGGAACACCACAGGGTAGTATTCTTGGTCCGTTGATATTTTTACTCTATGCCAATGATTTTCCTGATAACACAAGTTATGGTAAAGTGTACCTTTGTGCAGATGATATGTCTATCATTTTATCGAGCAGAACATCGGATGAAATGAATACCCAAGTAAACACTGTATTGCAAGAATTCAATGAGTGGTTCTCAAAAAAAGACATCGTTGATATAAATAAGACTGTTTGTATTGAATTTGCATATTCTCCTCGGAGTCTACATAACTTCACTTTAAATTTTCTCAATGTATCTCTGAGATCAACAACCTGTACCTAATGAAATCACTAAAAAGTTAACTAGATACCAAATTTCTACTAACGGTATATTACGCAAAATTTATCTCCATAGTATGTTTCATAAATTCGATAAAATACACTCGAGACTTATTGCAATATACTTGAAACTTATTTTATGTTGAGGTTTTGGTAATAAGAAATTAAGAAAAAACTATAACGATGTTCATTTTAGATGGTATTAAAAAACTAAATAATTTTCCTGGCAACGTTAGTTTGAAACGACTTGTAAACTTGTTTTGTATGTTACAACATCAGTTGTCAGTATTTTAATTTAAGTATGAAGTTCGTTAATTTCAAGTCTGACAAATGGTTAAATTAATGGAAATGCATAAAATAACAGTTTTACAAATGATTGGTTATGGAGATAAAACCCGAACACAACAGGAAATAGCTCGCCTATTTCATGAGAAATTTCCTAATTTACTGCCCTCAAGAAACAATAAGCAAAATAGAGATGCAGTTTCGCGAGCTTGGTCATGTAGGGCAGATAAAAAAAGCAGCTGCCAATGCAATGAGTGATGAACTCAAATTAGATGTGATGCTTGAGTTTGAGGAAAACCCACATACATCGAGTAGACAGGCATCCACTACATTCAATGTTAGCCATATATCGATAGTAAACATATTGAAAGAAAATAAAATGCATCCCTCTAAAATGATACCTACTCAGGAGCTCATTGATAGAAGAACTTATTTTTGTTGGATAACAATATCATCCAATTAGAAGACGTTATGTTTTCTGATGAGTATACTTTGTCTCTTAACGGTCATGCTAATCGGCAAAATTGCCGCTATTGGTGAACGGAAAATCATCATTGGGAGAGAGAAGAACACACGCAGTACCCTCAACAGGTTAATGTTTGGGAGGAGATTTTAGGATCATTGGTCTTTTTTTCATTGAGGGCAACTTGAATGGCGATACTTATTTGGCACTAATTGAATAGAACTGGCCGATACTTGATAAAAATCTATTTCTAAAAAACTAATCAATAGAGTTTATTCTATGGTTTTCACTATAAGGGTTTTACAAAAACCGCGACACGTGTTTCGCNTAATCCATCGCCCTTCGTGGTATTAGCCAGGGGAGTAGTTGATTTCTGATAGGCGTCAGTCTATTCAATTTACTGTGTAGGTATATCGAGACTGGCTTGAACTTTTAAAGTTCATTTGCTTTAGATTTGTTTACTGCCAGCACACAGCAGTTTACTGCAAGCACACAGTTAGTTTGTGCTTGAGAAATGAGTAGAAAACAGCCCGGTTTCTTTTGTTATGTGTTGCTCTAAACCTGTCAAATTTGACATTTTTTTCGAAAATCCTCAAAAAAACCTTTTTTTTTTTGGATTTTGAAAAATGTCAATGAACATATTTCTGTTCATTCTCATTACACTCGTATTACTTTTTTACTAGAACTTTTATTCAGTTTGATTATTTTTCTAACAGTTACAAACTAACCCGAAATATCATACTTTTCTGGAAACTAAACATTGACCTACAGAACTATTCAAAAGACTTTCGTTCTTGTGATTTGTACTAAACATGATATAAAATTTCGTGATTTTAAACATTACAAGACTAATGCAACATGTCGGGAAGAATATATTAGGTACTGTTCAAATCGAAATAAAATGTTCCNCGACTGTATATTTGTAGAAAAATCATTGTAAAAAAACCTTTTTTCATGCAATAATCTGCAGAAATAAACTTTTTGAAATATTTAGTTTCAGTGGAAGTTTGTGGCTCATAACTATAATTTTCAATATTTGAAGATCGTGTTTTGTTAAATAATCAAAATCAACTGATTGGCTTCATACTTTAGATAAATTCAGACTTTCATTTTAATGCAATGAACCAACTTATAATAGCGCCTGGAAACACAAGTCGCTTCGTATGATAACTTTAGCATTTTACCACATTAAACGTTTAAAGAAATGATAGTTTGATTTATACTCTATTCATAGTTCTGATAATGCTCCATGAGACACTGAAATATTTTTTATGAGTGAAATGTAAACTTTTTTTTTTTGGTTTGTTACTGTTAACTTCTGTTTCTATTGTATTACAGGTAAGGTTTGGTTTCATTGAAAATATATACAGTAAAACTATCACATTCATTGCATTTGGTGTATTAAATGTTGATTAAGTGTCGGTAAGGTCAGCTCAGATTCAATATAGGATAAAAAAAACGTTTGCCTAATTTCTACTAAGATTTTCATTTGTTACGTCATAGTTTCGGTTTATTAAACCAGTTTCAAGTGAACTAACGCATTTTGGCAAATAAACATACATTGAATATATACAGTGTGNTTCTACGACACCATCCACATTGAATTAATCCGAAATAGCCATAATGATTCACAAACCCATATTTTGTAAAGGTTGATTAGTAAAGAATTCATGCAAATAACATATTCCATGAAATGTGTGGGAAAATTTTCATAACCAGAACTTGTCATGTTTCAAAGTTGTATATTGATAAATATCGTAATTTGATAACTAGTAACTGGTTTTTCAAATTTTGTTTTTCATTTCTGCAACCATGGAAAGAAAAAATCCACCATTCTGAAGAATATCGTTGAATGTAGAGCCGTAAAAAACTGATGTATTGAAAAAGCAATCCTAGTGAAGAGTTTATTGATTTACTGAAGTTTTCAATTCGAATGCATCACATATATGAAGTTTTCAATTTATACAATAGAAACTTATACCTGCCATTGCCATTATATGCCAAATGTAGAAAACGACAAAATTACAAAGACACGAATGCCCTGAAACTTTAATAAACATTTCAAATTTTGTCCCAAGGTAGACCTTTTAGTACTTGACTTTAAAAAAAAATTATTAAAATCGATTTACAACTTCAAATTTTAGGGGGGTGTTTCCATTAAAAATGGGCCACACTGCATGTGGAACTGAAATTTATTGAACATTAAGTATCCCAACACCAAACCGTTATTTTCAACACCTCGACACGTGTTTCAATCACCAAGTGATCATTTTCAGGAGGAAATGTATTATCAACTTTTGTAACAGTGAGATCAAGAAAGTTGATGCTATTGTTTTGTTCAAATTCGACCGTGAATTTTATCTTATCGTGGAGAGACAGTAAATCCGTTCCTGAATTTCCTCAACACTCTCTACGATTAGATAAAATTCACGGTCGAATTTGAACAGAACAATAGCATTAACTTTCTTGATTTCACTATTACAAAAATCAGTCATAAATTCCAGTTCAACATATATAGAAAAAACTGTTTTACGTACTGTACAATCCCCATGAATTCTTTCAGTACATTATGACATAAATTTTCTGCATTTAGAATAATGATACATAAAGTAGTTATGATCCTGTTATCAGAGAAGGCTATTAAAGAAGAAATGAAGGTCAAAAACAAGATAGTATCTAATAAGCATATTTCAGTCAACCTAATTGTGAAGCTCATCTCCAATTAAAACCAAAAATTGGTCAGGAACGAAGTATATCTAAATCAGAACCTAAACAAACTAACAAATATGCTAGCATATGCTATTCGGGAAAGCTCGTCGAAAACATAAAAAACTATTTTTCATGAATAATTTAGGGAACATGATATTCAACGTAAAACCAATAGGGATAAGTGGAAAAAATCGGGCATATATGGACTAGAATGTGGTGACTATTGAGAAGCAAACAGGCTAGAAATGCAGAAATTTGAACATAAGGTACCGTGAGCATGTATTATCAGAAACAATCACCCTCTGAAGTTTCGTACCGTAGTTAGGAAACACTATGTATATGGACATCTACAAGAAACAAACAACATAATAAATAAAGAAAACATTAAAATTCTCCATAGGTGCAATAAAGAAAAAAAGATGAATTTTTTGGAACCATTGGTAATGAATAAACCACAACTTCAAAACCCTCAATGACCAACTAGACTCTTCCCTTTCGATTCAGGTAACATTTTTGTTATTTCAGGTACCTATTGCGTTTACAAAAAGGGCATTGACTGTATGAGGATTTGTTTGTCAAAATGCGTTAGTTTACATGAAAATGATTCAATAAACCGAAATCGGTTGTAATAGTTGAAAATCTTAGAAGAAATTAGACAAAAATTATTTTCTTTATCCTTAATTCAATATAAATTTCAACAAAATAAATAGGTCATCAATCGAACATGGTTAAATTTAGTTTCATTAAAAGTTTTGATGGAAAATCATAATGTTCCTCATAGGTTTTCAACAAATGATTCAAAATAACTGAATAATTTATTGTTGGTTTTTCCCTGTAAGGGTTTCACAATATTTCTCAAGCGAGAAAGTCAGGCGGTCCTCGATTGAAGACAAAATGAGAAAAACCAGAAAAGTTCTTGATAGAAATAACTGCGTAAACGCAAGTGAAACATAAGTGGAACCACCTATTGGTGTAACACCCAAGTCAACTTGCCAAGTTTTTATGTCAGTGTTGGTAGTATTTATTTTAATCTGAAATCATAGCACCATAACACTGAGATCGTGATTCTCTCTAATAATACGAATAATGAACAGCAAACTATTTAAATATTTCAATTTATATTATAAAAAATGATTCTATGGTGTTGGTGGAGGAGGGATGAGGGTGTGGCTTTACGCATACGGTTTTATACCTGTTTACCAGTCTACGAAACTCAACATAAGACAAATTAATTAATTATTTTAGGGTATGTTGGGTGGAGAACGAGCGATGTCTCGGGGGGGGGGGCGATCGCCCCCTCCGTCCCGCTCTGGATCCATCCGTGTCAGTGAATGATTTGTTATATCCGATTTCTGATAATTCAAATATCGAAACTAGTATACTCACTATTACTATACTAATTATACTATACTAACATACCACTTCATAAATTTGCTGAAGAGCCTCCAAGCTTACGATAGACGTATCGAAATTGTAGATGGCGTTTTCAATTTCTTGAGTATCGATCTTCAAACTCTGGGCTAAGATTCCAACATTCTGTGATCGTTTCCCGTCCAGCAGCTTGACTGGTTCGACTTTGTTCTTTTGTTCGATTTTTTTGACGGTAGGTTTCCTATTGACGACTTGCCTCGAAAACAGCTCGGCGAACTCTGACATGTCATGTAATGGCAGTTCACTTATTTCCCTCCAAAGAGCACTCTTTGCTTTAGGGTCATCCGTTGTATCTGTTTGGGTGGCCAAAATTCTGGTCCAGTAAAGAGGTTTCATTGGCACAGCTGGATTTACGGGGGGTTTGGTCAAAGCTGGAAAAAAGATTGCGTTCAGGAAGGTCAATGTAATGGTCTTAGACAGTGGGAGATATTGAAAAGACATCGTAGAAAAATGAATGGTTATCTTCTAGCAGTTACAATATCTGCCGCAGACTCATAATATACTCAATTTCAATTTTAAAGGGTTATATTTTTTGGAATGACTAATTTTTGGGAAAGAAAGGTTTTGGCCTTCTACGACTCCATCTTGATACAGAAAAATGTGGGAATCTTCCAAACAAATGAAAGAAGTAATCAATTTTGAAAAAATTAACCGTATATATAGATGTGTGTGTGGACGAGTAGGCTGTCCTTCTTCATCTTTCATTGCCTGAACCACTGTGCATACTGTTTTTGGCGAGTGTATTTGTTTGGGATGTGGGGGTTGAGCAAACCGGCCATCGGATGCCTGCTTCTACGTAGCCCCGCTGGATACGTGAATGACAGAATCACTTGTGGTTCTGTTATTTCTAAATGGCATCCCAACGGTGGCTTAATCCTAAGGTGTGTTTATCCGTGCCGAGAGGATGAATTACACTGAACGTATCAGCTGTCTCTACGGAACCTTCAAAATATTGGGAGTCCTCTCGTCGTAGCATCATCTTGTCACGGTAATGTGAGGCTTTGCCGTGATTGATCTCCTTTCCCTAGCTACTCGTAGGACTTTTATGGACAGAGTAAACTCAAAAATTCTTTCTGACGCTACAGAGGAGATTGATGTCGAGTTTACGACTCCAACTGACCTCACCGTGAATTTAGATTAGGAGCGAGAGCTTCTCAACTTTCCAACTCCTGATCCAATAACTGAACCTAAAAAAAGGTTTGGTGGTGCAGCCAGGAAACGACTGAGTCGTCTCCTCAAGAGCGAGATACCTTATGAAATCGCCTTGCACCAAATTATTGAGCGGCGTACGCAGAATTTGTCTCAGGTGGAGGAACAAACCCCCCATGAGCAGGTTAGCAAACGTTTGCGCTCAAGTGATGATTCACCAAAACCAGAGGCGAAAAAGCCCTGCATTTTTCCAAAAAATACCTAATTTTCTTCTTCATTTTCAAACTCAGATGAAACAGTTTGACTCTTGGTTTACCATTATTAAATGAAAAGCATGGTATATTATATTTTAGAATGTTTTCCAAATCTTATGAAAACTAGTCCTTGAGATTGGTAGGTACTGAATATTTGATCTATGTCAATATGGTTTTTCAACTGAAATTCATACTTCATTAGTTTGGTAGTATTGAAAATATAATATAAAAAATGTTGAATTCATATGAAAACTTTCCTTTACACCTACATTTCCTATAAATAGACCAAAATCTGACAAACACAAATTATTCCAAATATAAAGAAATGAACTTTAAACGTTCAAGCAAGTCTCGAATATACCTACACAGTAGGTTGAATGGACTGACGCTTATCAGAAAACAATTACTCCATTGGCTAATACCACGAACGGCGTTGGATTATATCCGACAAGCGTCAGTGCAGGAATATTCACAGAAAATTTCCTGCATATGCAATTGGCAATAAAACTGAGAGAGTCGACCTACAATTTTGGAACGGGCACACTTGCAGACCACTATCTTGCACTGATGAGTGGCTAATGACACCAAACCGGTCTGTAAGTATGCCCGTTCCAAAATTGAAGGTCGACCCTTTCAGTTGTATTGCCAGTTGCATATGCAGGAAATTTTCTGTGAAGATTCCTGCACTGACGCTTGTCGGATATAATCCAACGCCCTTCGTGGTATTAGCCAGGGGAGTGGCGTCAGTCCATTCAACCTACCGTGTAGTTATATTCGAGACTGGCTTGAACGTTCAAAGTTCATTTCTTTAGACTGCCAGTCTTCAAGCATACCTCACGTATTAATAAGAAACAAATTATTTCATTCGAACGTTTTCCTTCAGTTCAATAACAATATGTTATTGATGTGAGCAAGAAAAAACTCTCTAAACTACTTATTTACGGTAAGTTAAATTGTTGTTGATATAGATGAAATATTGAAGAGTTGAAAATATTTACTGTTAATAAGAAGCTCCAGCAAGCGGATATACTGGTGATAATCAAAACACTTTCAGCTTGTATATCTTTATTTTTGAAGAGATTTACAGAAACAATGGAATGGGTTTTTCTAGGTTTGAGAGCAATATAAGTTTAATAAATTTTACAGTTTCAGAGAGCTTTTGGAATTTGGTATACAAAAAAACAATTATTCACACTCAAAATTGAAATTTCATACTAGATTTTTCATTCAGAAATGTAGGTTCAGAATAAAAAAAAATAAAAATGAAGCAGTAAATGAACAAATGCCAGTACTTCAGAAGAAACTAATGAAGGAAAGGAAGGTAGACTATGAATCTGCGAATCACTATAGAAAGATCATGAAGGAAAGAGATGAGCAAAATTTATTAGGTATAGCATGATAATTTCATGAGGAGGTATAATGATAATAATAATGATGGGATTAATATCTATTGGTAGAAAAAGCCACCGGATACCCACCGCCGTCTGGCCAGAGTTTTAAACTCATCGCTGCATGGAGAGCAGCAGATTCCGGATTGATTTGTCAAAGGACGACTGTTCTTATCCCTATCAGCTGAGATTCATAGATTCCTAAAAATTCGTGTTATGAGTTAACCGAGTGTTCGAAAGTGGAGTAAAGAGGGTCAAAGACAGGAGTCGCTGGCTGTAAGGAGAACCTGCTCATCGATAGATGTGTAATGCAGGACTCAATACAAAACTGACGTAACTTCTCTATGGCGTGTATAGATTACCGCAAGGCATTTGATACTGACGAGCTCATAGTGCATTTGCTAATAAAATTTATTAGGTATAGCATGATAATTTCATGAGGAGGCATAATGATAATGACAATGATGCCGTCTGGCTATAGTTTTAAACTCATCGCTGCATGGAGAGCAGAAGATTCCGGATTGGTTTGTCAAAGGGCGACTGTTCTTATCCCTAAGAGCTGAGATTCATAGATTCCTAAAAATTCGTGTTATGAGTTGACCGAGTATTCGAAAGTAGAGTAGAGAGGGTCAAAGACAGGAGTCGCTGGCTGTAAGGAGAACTTGCTCATCGATAGATGTGTAACGCAGGACTCAATACAAAACTGACGTAACTTCTCTATGGCCTGTATAGATTACCGCAAGGCATTTGATACTGACGAGCTCATAGTGCATTTGCTAAGATGCCTCACGGAATCCGACAAAATAGCGAGATGCTTTGACCAACCGATAACACTCGCTCCATCATAACATCTGGCAGTCTTGAGTTCAAACAAAGCGGGTCACATTAAGAAGGGGTGTATTAAAGGGCGATTCCCCCAGACCCTTTTTTTTCTGTATCTCACTATTCTCATCATTTGTTGTGCTCAGAAATACTCGATGGTACAACTGTGACACCCCCGGAAACCGGAGGCATAAGATCACCTTTTGATTCAAATGGATGATCCTGAACCTCTGGAGAGAAGGATCACTATCAGTCCTTGGGGGTGGTGAAAGAGTACTCGCATGGACGGGCAGCTCAGAATTATCCTGACCATCCGGAGAGACGTCCACTTACCTCGGAGTGGAACAAAGTCACCCACAAGAGGTAACCTCAGTGAATTACTTTTTCCGCGGCAAGTATCTACACAAACTTTGAGGAATTTGGTCAACTGAACGGTCGAATAAAGTAGCTTCTACCCTTTCGATTTTACTACACTCTTTTGGAGTAGTGAAATGGACCCAGGATGAGCTTCATTAAATTGACGTAAAGACCCGAAAAATGATGCAACTTCATAGGAGTTTGCATCCCAAATCGGCCTTTCCGCGGTTGTACTGCCGCCGACAACAGGGAGGCCGTGGACTTTTCACTTTGAAGTCTAAATGACAGAATGGTACTGGATGGAGCCCATGAAGTTACCAGGAGTTCGGATCACATTCTCTACATGGTCTGTGACCGTGAGAGAGTAGGAATTGGAGTTTTTATTTTATGAACTTGGTTTAGTTTTCGACACTGAACGAGGTAATCACAACTTTATCATCAAGTTGGAACCCTCTCAGTAAAAGGCCCACATAAAAAACCGCAGAAATAAATTTACTCCTGCGGAACACGCTCCTACGCTCCGGAGGATCTTGAAACGGATGGAGCATATCGAGATTTTCTCTTCCAACTCCGCAGACTCTATCTAGACTACTCTGGTTAAGATGTTTCTTTCAATCATTGGAGTCTTTGGTGTAATGATGCTCTCTCTACTGAGTAAAGTCTACTCTAGAATCTCAAGATCATGCCGTCTTGCCACACGAAAGCAGACATCTTGGCCAGAATTAATGACATTAATTTTTTACCTGGGCGAAGTCTGATATTGATATGCTATTCTGATATTCTTTTGGGCAAGTTTTAAACTTGACACAGGGATTGGAGTTATTCGAAAATGATAGCTGCTGAATAGCTGATAATCTTTCGGAGAGAAGAAATTGATCTTCAGGATCTTAGTTAGGTGGACATTTCTCGTGATCACATCATGAACTTTAGAACAATATTCAATATCATTGGGAATGTAGAGAGATTGAACGTTATTTATCACTTTATGTACAAATTAAGCCAGATGATAATGTCAATTAGTAACACGGTGGTAATGCTGAACCAGCATTACCATGTATTTTTATTTGAAAACCAGAGCCCAACCACAACTCATTTGATCTAACACCAGACTGCGCTGTTTCGACCCGACATAGGTCTCATCAGTGGTTCTAGGCTGAGTCTTCAATGCATATAAAATTGATACAAAAATGGCATTTCCTCAACAAGTTCTAGGGAAAAAAATTTGAGGTGAGTGATATGAAAAAAAATTATATTTTTTCTTTTTACCATCTCGTATTCTACTACATTCGATTTATCGTTCGACTTTTCGGAATCCTAGCAACATTTGTCTTGAATATTCATCTCACCTTTCACACAATATAATGAGTGATTTTTTTTGCTGGTATCTTTTTGGCAACACTGTTTTTGACAGATCACGCGTGAATCGTGTCTCGTGTCATTGTCAGACTTGTTCAGTTTGGTCTATAATTTAACCATGAATCGACTTACGAATGAACAACGCTTGCAAATTATTGAATTTTATTATCAAAATTCATGCTCGATGAAAAAAGTGCATCTTACACTTTTTCCAATTTATGGGTAGTTTCGTCGGCCTACTGAGGGAGCTATTCGGAAGCTTGTGACTAAATTTCAACCCAGTTTACATTATTGAACATTAAACCACCAACACGCATACGTAGAGTGGGGACCGAAGAAAATATTGCGGCTGTATCCGCCAGTGTTCGTGATGACCGTGAAATGTCGATTCGCCGCCGTTCGCAGCAATTGGGCCTCTGTAACTCCATTAAGTGGAAAAGTTTGCGAAAGGATTTGGGTGTAAAACCTTATAAGATAGAGCTGGTGCAAGAATTGAAGCCACACGACCTCCCACAATGTCTTAACATTTGGTGAATGGGCGCTGGCAAAGTTGGGGAAAGATCTATATTTTGATCGAAAAATTGTGGATACGTTATCAAGCAAAATTGCCGCAGCTGGAGTGAATATCAGCCACAAGCATTGCAAGAGGTACCGATGCATCCCGAAAAAGTCACTGTTTGGTGTGGATTATGGGTCGATGGCATCATCGGGCCGTAGTTCTTCAAAGACGACAATGGTCAGAACGTTACTGTGAATGGCAAGCGCTACCGTGTGATGATTGACGACTTTTTGTTGCCAAAAATGGAAAAATTGAACATGCCTGACATGTGGTTTCAACAAGACGAAGCCACATGCCACACAGCACACGAAACAATGGCCCAACTAAGAGCCGCCTTCGGTGAACAGTTTATCTCACGTTTGGGGCCCGTCAATTGGCCGTCTAGATCGTGTGATTTAACGCCTTTGGATTATTTATTGTGGGGTCATGTTGGGGCTCATGTCTACAGGGATAAATCAGCAACGACTGACGCTCTGGAAGCCAATATTGAAGCATTTATACGTGAAATACCGGTCGATATGTTAGAGAGAGTGTGCCAAAATTGGACCTTACGCATGGGCCATCTAAAGCGGAGCCGCGGACAACATTTGCATGAAATCATCTCCAAATATTAAATTATATTGATCGTTCTATCGTTTCCAATAAAGATTACATCATTTTTTTCAAATTTTTTGTGTTGTTTTGAAAATCAAGTCCTATACCTCTCAAAAAATCACCCATTAGATAGTTTTCATATGATTTGCCATGAAAAACAAATACGTTCTTAGTTAAATGCAATGAATGATGTGTCACTGATATGAGAGAAATGAGATAGATAAGTTCAGTACAATTGAAATTGTACAAACAATCTCATAATTGAATTTGCAGCGTCATATACTGATATAAATTATTGATAAAAAGATTATATGAATTATCAGAAAAAATTAATAAAATGTATGTTGTACACCCAGTTAATTATTCCAAATGAATATACTTAAACTATCTGGTCTGAGCAGCAAGAAAAACTCGTCACAAATTACTGTACTTCTGGAAATTCGATTTTTGTTTTCCATATGGTAATTGCTAGAAAACTTCATCATTATTCTACGACACCATCCACATTGAATTAATCCGAAATAGCCATAATGATTCACAAACCCATATTTTGTAAAGGTTGATTAGTAAAGAATTCATGCAAATAACATATTCCATGAAATGTGTGGGAAAATTTTCATAACCAGAACTTGTCATGTTTCAAAGTTGTATATTGATAAATATCGTAATTTGATAACTAGTAACTGGTTTTTCAAATTTTGTTTTTCATTTCTGCAACCATGGAAAGAAAAAATCCACCATTCTGAAGAATATCGTTGAATGTAGAGCCGTAAAAAACTGATGTATTGAAAAAGCAATCCTAGTGAAGAGTTTATTGATTTACTGAAGTTTTCAATTCGAATGCATCACATATATGAAGTTTTCAATTTATACAATAGAAACTTATACCTGCCATTGCCATTATATGCCAAATGTAGAAAACGACAAAATTACAAAGACATGAACATAATAGAAATCATTCAAAAAGTCAACTGCACGTGCCAAAAATAGTTGTGAATATTGCTGATAAAAATGTAACACCGTATGCAGTGAGGCTGCTAGATTCTATCCAGAAATGATCTATCCGTCGAACATTAAAGGAATGTTCTCTTCTACATATACTTCCACGGGAAGTGTTCGACTAACCGAAAGTGGTATATANGAAAAGTTCTGACTTTTCTCCTGATAACGCCGTTTGGTTGGTGAAAATCAGGTCAGAAAAAGGAAAGTCGTGGAGTGTTGGAACAGTGCTTTTTTGTTGAATGGGAAAACAATTGTAGGTGATCATAAGTTGGGAATAAAAACATATCATCAATCGAAATAACTTTGTATATTTCAACAACACACTTCATTTTCAACTTCGAACGACACCTAATTTGAATATTCCTTTGATTTTAAGGTAAGATACCTAAATTTTCATCAACTTATCCAAATATTTGTGCAATATGTTGGCTTTTCAATATCTTAATTCTTTAGAATTTTAGATAATAGAAAGCTTAACTATCATTCAACAACATAAATATTTTTATTCATATTCAATCAAAAAATTAAGGTCATATAACCGATCTGTAGAAATACTTTCAAATTCCGAAATTTAACCGAAATTACATGTTTAATGAATTTCTTAATTCATAAATAGAAATAACTGCTGAACAAATTTGGTCCTAATAGTATGACAAACGGTGAAAATGCTCTAAAATACAGTTTTTTGATAATAAACTTCAATGCAATGCCTTTATTGTCACTATTTGCTCTATTTGAAAAACCAGTAAAATTTTCAGGTATAGATACCGAAAAAACAATATTGTTTTCTCAACTGAAAATGACTCAAAGAAAAGCACGATAAAATGATATAAAATAAAAATCTCTTACCTAAGAACGCTGGAGCAGGTGGAGCCACTACAGAAACATAAAGAAGGAAAGGTGCATTCTCAGTACTACAACTTAACAAAATACAAAACGAGTGAATGATTAAAGTTGAGTGAAAATGTGAAGGAGTGAAGCCTGACATTCGTTGTAGGAATCAATCATTTCCTTTTCCAGAAATCTTATCGAGCCCAGATCAGGCCAGAGAATCGTCAAAAATGAGAAAGATTTGAGACAATCAATATTAAAGTTATTTAGAGACAATAAAAAAGAAGAGAAATATATTTTGTAGGTAGAATTGAAATATCTGAAACAGAACAAAGACACTTTCTCCAAAGATGCGATTTGCTAACCAAGTTTGTGTCATCAGGAGATCAAAGAACTGTATTTCACATCTAATTCAGTTCTATTTATACATCATTACCTCAGGTCATTAAGTGAGGTTCATTAAATGCATTCCTAGTATCATGTAAGGTTGTAATAATATCTTGATGTCTAATTTATATGCTAGTGACTACCTGTAGTGTACCTAATATTTATCTCGCATCAATGTCTAATTCTTTCGAGCTGTTTGGAATGAGACTTATCGCTGTTCATAGATCTCATTTTTCGATTTTTAAACTCTCAAAGTCGCAATTTAAAACAATTTTCATTCATTTTGTGGCCGTTCTCTAAAGCATTTTGAGTTTCACTAGTCTTCTATTCAGTTCTATAGAACCGAATGTGGGAAACATTTCCTTAGAACGCGTTAGTATGATGGCCAGTCGTTAATATGTTGGAAAGTCGCTTTCAAAACTACTCATACACTCCAATAAGTGTTGGGCAACCCGATAGATGGGGTGACGGAAAAGAAGGCACTGTCTATCTGCCATACATATAGAAGGTGTCACCAACCGAATCGGGAAAATTCTGAAGAAGGAGAAAATTAACACTGTCTTCAAACCAGAGAAGAGAATATCGAAGTGCCTGAGACAGCGGAGATCCACTCAAATCAACGGGAGTTTACGGGATTCCTTGTAACTGTGGTAAAGTTTATATCGGTCAGACGAAAATGAGCATTTGTACCCGCCTAGTCGAACATAAACACCAAGAGAACTTCAACAACAAGGAAGAGATTACATACCTACTGAAGATCTGGCACACAGAATCGAAAGGTGCCAAAACGTAGCCATGTCGAAATCGCGCGGTAAGTTCGCGCGAATCTACCATTACAGAAAGTGCGCGGAATATCAGCACTATAAATGAAATGGCAGAAATGGAAGCTTCAGTTTCAGTTGATTTGTCAAGAAAAGTACTTCGACCACGCCACTGAAGATGACTGCCGCAGTTGTAGTTGAAACGTTTGGAGATTGTAACCAAAGTAGACCGCGGCAAAACATGGAAACTAACCAAAACGTTGACGCCAGACGTGAAAGCCTACATTCATAACAATTGTCCTGGTTGCGCAATTACAAAGAAGAACAGACCTCAAAACTTGACAATTTTTGTCAATCGTTCAAATTGTGGGGCACCCCCATTTCGAGCTTTTTGACCTTTCCAGGGTTCTCAAATCCTCGCCCTGGATTACTCTAGTTTGTTTTGGAAATCTACGGAACGGAATTTCGCAAACCAACGTCGAACAGGACGTTTATTAACACTATCACTGTCAAGTGTCGGTTAATATTTCTGGCTGTTTCGGTAGCGCTTTGGTTCAACTTGAATTCGTAGAGAAAATTGGTCGAAAATCGCTAAACAAAATCATATACACTGAAAAGAGGCGAAAAAGTTGAATTTGGAAAAAAAATGAATAGCATCAGTGAATAGAGTACAAAATTCTCTATCGATCTATACACACCACGACACAGTAGAATAAATATTTATTGAAATTTGAGGCTACAAAAACACTTGAATTCTACACAACCAATATTGTGTGCCTTCTTTCCTTTTTTTAGGTATTTCAACGTTAATGCTTTTTGAATACTTCTATTTGCAACATATAAGTCAGTGATTCATGTTCTCATCGTTCAACAATTTTCAATATTTCATATTGGATATAAAAAAAATATTTCATATGATTGGTATTTGAATTTATAGTACGCATATAGTACCATATAGTATCAGATAGTTATTGGTTCACAGATAGATCAAAAGCACCTTCCGGTTCTGGTGCAGGTGTTTTCAGTCGCAGACCCAGGACAGTGATATCAACCAGCCTAGGAACCTATGCGACTATATTTAAAGCGGAAATGTACGCTATTGAATTGTGTACAGAGAGATTGGAAGAATCTAATCTCATATAGAAGTCGATAAAAATATTCTCGGACAGTCAAGCGGCATTGGAAGCTCTTGAATCCCACAGAGCACGTCTAAATTGGTAGCAAATGGCCAAAAACGACTATCCTCGATCTCTGATTTGGATTCCTAGCCATAATGGCCTGGAAGGCAATGAGGCTGCATCGGACAAGAACCTGTCATTGGCATGGCTTTAGGATTTTCCAAACAAAGATTGAACACCTGGATGGCAAGAAGATTTATGGACTTCTGGCAGAATATTCCAGGCGTTTATTCACCTTTCGAAGCTTGATACCAAACAGTTGTTGGACTAGAGTAGAGATGAACTACGATGTCTAACAGGCCTTCTTACAGGTCACTGTCATTTGAACCATCATATGCAGAGACTCGGACTGTCGGAAGACAATGTGTGTCGCCTCTGTTTGGAAAATGATAAAACAGCAGAGCACATACTTTGTGCCTGCCCCGCTGGGGACCGAATAAGGTTTTTAGCGCTTGGCAGAGCCGTACTCTTACCGTCTGACCTGAAAGACTACTCACCATACAAACTAATCGGCTTCGTTAAGAAGCTGGGTTTATTTGGTCGAGTGTGAATAGGTGTGAGCCACAATAAACCCTTGCGGGTTGCGGTAGAGTGTCGATAGACCTACTCACTTTAGACCTAACCTAACTAACGCATAACTTTATGATTGACCTTTAGATTTTGTTCCCCACTTTCTGTATTTTCAGTTCCATCTATATACTCGTACAACAAAATATCAATCTCTGATATTCATTTCAATTTTAATGCGCATCCACTTTAAGTATTTCAGGTTTATCTCTCAATGAATCCAATTGAACGTCATATTCATTTCTAAAATACGATTTTCAAAATAATTGTATGAAAAAAATGTTAGCGAGAATGAATTTGTTCATATTAGGTGAATATTCCTTCCCAATTTCCTTCTTTACCACTCAGTGATTGTCGTTTTCAGTATAATATGAATGTCGGACTTCACTTCAGATGAACCAAAAGTTAATGAAAATATGTTGGTGATTTGATGAAAACTCAAGAACGGTTTTGGTATATATTTTCTTCATTATTTCATAGAGGGAATGTAAGTCATTTATTTTTTACACCCACTAGTGAGCATAACATTTCCTTGCCATTTTTGTTCGGAAATGGCCTTGACCATACTCTTGAAGTAATTATACCGTTTGATATCTTTCACCTCGTGAGAACTGTGCAAGCTGATGTTCACTTTTTATTATCGTTGCAGAGGTCAATACACTTCAATATTCCCATAATTTGAATAGAATGATTCTCTGTTTATATATTTTATTTACAGGCTTATGCATTAAAATTGGAAAAAAAAAGTAGAAATAATAGCAATTTTGCTATACAGTGAGTTTAAAAATGTTTCCACCATATGCAAAACTTTTTTATTATCCGTTTGTCACAAAATTTTATTCTCGATAAAAATTGGTGCATTGCGGAAAACTTGTGGTTAACAAAATTCTACAGGGTATCAAAAAAAAGAAATTTTGATCGAAAGTAAACTACCCTTAAAAGTTTCGAAATTACTTTATGTTTACAATGTTCCTACTTTTATATAATAAACGTTTTTTACTCAAGATTTTTTCTATATCAAAAAGTTCCCCCTAATGGAACCCACTTCATTTGAAGATAATATACTACAAACAACGCTAGTCCTAAACGACCATTGGATTCGTTAAGAAATTTCAGGATCCACAATTTTAAAAATATCTTGCGTTTTCATCATTCGTATTAGAGAGACTACCACAAACAACAAACATACTAAGAACACGTCAAATATGATAAAAATGTTACCTGCTTTTTGAGGGTTCCAACCCCCAATAGGAGGCGCTGGTAAAGGCGTTGGTCCTCCTGGAGGCGGTGGAGGTCCTGCCATCCCTTGCATCGGTGGAGGAGGAGGTCCAGTCATTCCAGGTATTGGAGGCGGAGGTGTACAACCTGATCCGGGCATTGGTGGTGGGGGAGGTCCAGCCATGCCAGACATTGGTGGAGGTGGAGGTCCTGCCATGCCAGGCATTGGTGGAGGTGGAGGCCCTGTCATGCCAGGCATTGGTGGAGGTGGAGGTCCTGCCATGCCAGACATTGGCGGAGGTGGAGATCCTGCCATGCCTGGCATTGGTGGAGGTGGTGGCCCTACCATGCCAGGTATTGGCGGAGGTGGTGGTCCTGTCATTCCAGGCATTGGGGGAGGAGGAGGTGCAACCATAACCGGCATAGGAGGAGCTGGTGGACCAATCATACCTAGCATTGGAGGAAGAGGAGGAGGGGGAGGTGGGTAATCTATAGAAGGTATTGTTGGTGGTGAGGATGATCTCGCAGTTTCTGAAATTGATGGGAGCGGTGGAGGTGGTGGAGGTTGGGAAAAGGACGTCTTCAGTACAACGGGGGTGCAAGTATTCTCTGTTCCTACACATATAGTTCTGTCGGAAACAGGTAGAGTTATTGTTTGCGAGAGTTCTGATTTCAGTTCTAATGTTTGAGTTCCTTGTGCTGTCGTATTCTCTGTTTGCGTTGAGACTTCAACCTTGCAATTAATTTCATCTGTTTGTGCTTCCGAGTGTGCAATTGACTTCTTAGTTATTTTGTTTTCAACCCCCATACCAGTCGAATGATCACACGTGACGAATGGTTTTGTCTCTTCGACCGGTGATTTAAAATCTATCACAGCGTTTGTGGTTAGGGCCTGTATTTCGCTGAGAGTTTTATACTTTTCGACTTCCTGTATCAGCCTTTCGATCTCTTGTTCCAAAGATAATATTTCAACATCTCTAGCAGAGTTTCTGAGTTCTTGTCTGGGTTTCAGTTTCTCCTCAATTTCTGAAGACACAACGGGGATAAGTTCATTACCACATGGGGGTATGAAAGCTTCCGAAGGAGTAGGAGGCCATGACATCACATTCAACCGACCGGGAGTTTGAGGTAAAGATAAAGGTGTTTCTGCATGACTCCAATAATACATACAGTCGGGCTGGAATATAAAGAATTGTGATGGAAGTAGTTCGATACTTGATAAAAATCCATGATAACTTATTCATTTTTGAAATTTTCATTATACATTTCACAAAACCTCAATGAATATTTCACTATTCAATAGCTTCTTCAGTATTGTAATAAAACACATGTTACGGTTCTGTAAAATGTTTAATAAAAATATTACAATGAAGTGTTAATTAAATAGGTATAAAGAATTGTTTCCGACTTTGTCGAGTACTACCTCCAAAATATATTCAAAGTAACGATCTTTATAGAAAACGGAGATAGGTGATAACTTCATTGAGTTAAATTATCTGAAGGAAGAATTCGTTCAGGTCAGTATCAACTCACCTACAATGTAGGTTAATGGACTGACACCTATCAAAAAGCAACTACTGCCCTGGCTAATACCACGAAGGGCGTTAGATTACATCTGACAGATGTCAGTTCAGGATTCTTCACAGAAGCAATTCCTGCTGGACTCGATTTTCAATTATGGAACACTTCCAGACCGGTTTTGGGCTATTTGGCCACTCCTCAGTGCAAGGTAGTGCCCATCATCAACATAAAGTCGATGGTTTCCCATAATTGAAAATCGAATTCCTTTCAGAGTATCATTTCTCGAACTTCACATATAGTGTAAAGTTTTTTCCTTCTACATGCAATTGGGCGATTCGAATATGCGATTTGGTGACCTCGTTCACGGGCAGATGGAGCGATGACAAATATGTTTTTTGTCATTCATTTCAGACCAATTGCACTGACGAGTGGCCAAATAGCCCGAAACCGATCTGCAAGTGTGTTCCAATGATTGAACATCGATTCCGGCAGTTGTATCGCCAACAGCATATGCAGAAATTACTCCTGTGAAAAGTCTTGCCCTGACACCTGTCGGATATAATCCAACGCCCGTCGCGTTATCAACCAGGGGAGTAGTTGTTTTCTGACAGGTGTCAGCCCTAACCTACAGTGTACTCGTTGGTGAGTTGAGAGTGGCCTGAACGAATTGTTCTTTTTAGATAATTTGATTTACAGGCAGTCTTCAAGTCTTCAAGCCCCCTGACTATATGTGAATATATTATTGAGTCGTTATTATGATAATGCACATTCATTATACACTATATAAAAGGACACCATAAAATATGACATATATGATATCTTTTATCAATAGACACTCTGAAGAATCTACTAAAACAATTCATGGATGTATCTTGAGTCACTGAGGTAAATGGTCAACTCACCTCTTATCCAGAACGAATTTCAGAAAATTGAAATGAATTAGAGCAAAAACAATTTTGAGAACGACTTCTCATTGCCATAAGTGTAATCACTGCTTCAAAATGCCGGGTAGCGGTTACATTTTGAACGAATTCATTATAAATTTGTACATCTGTTCCGAACGAATAATCCCGGATCTGTTTGGATAAAGTTTGAACAAGTGGATCCTATTTTGATGAATGGTGAGAGGCAACTATTACGGCAATTTTTAAACTGAGTTTAAGCTAACAAAATCACAAACGGCTACCGACTCATCTCAATCACCAGCTGTATCAGCAAAATTACAGAAAAAATGATAATTCTTTGTCTAAGGTGGAACCTGGAATCTAAGAGTCTTCTATCTGATTTCAGCTATTAAAGATCGACTTCTGATCAGCTGGAGCAAAACATCCATGATAGTTTCACAAAAAGGAACCACTTCGTTTTTATCTTCTTCGATATTGGTGAAGGAAAAAAGACTTTTAGCTGATGATATTGGATTTTGAATAATATACAGGTACACAGGTACATAAACTGTGGTGGTGAAGTATTGAATCAATCAATGGTTCATTTATTGAATACGATGGGGGACTTTTTATGTTTCGAGAACTAGCAACACTAATGTCAATAGGTAAAAGTGGCAACACCATAATGAAGTTTGACATATGAAAGTACAATGCACAACGTTTTGATGTACAAGTGATATTTATTTTGTTAACAGTGAGTTAAAAAATCAATGTGACCGAAAAATGGAAATTTCAAGAGATGCGTTTCGTTGGATTATTTTTCTCAACTTTCGACGTGGATCATCTCAACAAGAATGTGTCGATGAGCTCAGTTCTTTGTATGGTGATAAAGTACCATCAAAAACCACAGTATATCGCTGATGTAGTGAATGTATTCGTGTTCGTAGTTCAGTCGCCTAAAAATTCCGTGAAGGTCGTCAGAAATCGGTTGTTGTGCCAAAAAACATCGATGCAGTGGGTGAACTGATAATGCAAGATCGTCACGTGACATATTGTAAGATAGAGGCATCCTTGCACATTAGTTCCACTTCAATACATTCAATTTTGTATGAACATTTAGTTGTAAAAAATGTGTTCTCGTTGGATACCCCATAATTTATCAATCGCTCAAAAAAGGATCGCGTCAAGTAGTGCAAGGAAATTATCAAAACGTTCGACCGTGGTGCTTCAAAAGACGTGTATAAAATCGTGACAGGTGACGAATCATGGATATAGGCGTATGAGCTGGAAACAAAACAGCAATCGACCGTTTGGGTTTTGCAAGACTAGCTAAATCCAACAAAAGTTGTTCGTGGAAGAAGCACAGCGAAGCAAATGGTCGCCTGTTTCTTCGGCCGAATGGGTCATGTGGCAACTGTTCCGATTTAGCAACGTAGAATGGTCAATTCTCAGTAGTACACGACCATTCATTTGCCGCAAATAATTGGAGAAATTCGTAAAACTAACCGCCGAACGAATTATTCTCCATCATGACAATGCAAGTTCTCACACATCTCATCAAACAGGTCCATTTTTGAGTAGTCAAAACATCGAATTGATGACTCATCTTCTGTACAGTCCTGATTTGGCACTCAATTACTTATTCTTGTTTCCGGTCAACTGCGTGGTCAACGATTTACAAGCGCTGAAGAAGCAGTTGAACCATTCAAAAACCATACCTTGGAGGTGTCTCAAGAGGAATGAAAAAACTGCGGTGACGAATGTTATGAACGAATGCAAAAGTGTATTGATCATCAAGGGGAATATTTCGAAAAACAATAAAGCCATTTTCATTAAAAAAATTTCGTTATTATTTGTTATTTCCGAAATATAAATAGTACTCTCGTACAATTCGGGGATACTCATCGAATACGAAATAAAAATTATAAGAAATGTCGTTAAAGATTTTAGCAGAAAACCTTCACTAGTATTAAGCTCGAATGATAATAAAGTGAAAAGAAGGGAAATAAACAGTTCAAAACTATTCATGATATTTGATTAGGTACCTAATTGTGTTGCTTCCAATTTTTCATTTAGATTCGTTGAAAAATATTACGATTTTCGTAAAAATTTTTCTTTACGAATTCAAATTGAAGCAAAGAGCTGCCAAAACCGACCGAAAAATTGATCAGGCATTTGGCAATGATACTGTTAATGAATGCACCACAGTGGTCGACCTTCAGGATTCCAGGACGTGGATTCGAGAACCCTGGTGAAGACCCACCCATCACTAACGGATTATGGGGTGACGGGTACGAAGGGATTATGGGGTACGATTTTTGATGGTTTAATAGGTATTGGAACGGTCAAAAATTTCGAAAAGTGGGTGCCCCACGATTTGAACAATCAACAGAAATTGTCACGTTTCGAAGTTTGTTATTCTTTGCTTTTGGGCAACCAAAACGACCCTTCATTGGATCGGATCGTCAACAGCAGGAGACGTTCAGAACATTGTTTGGACACCGATGAGCTATCCAGGCACTTCCCAAAGGCCAAAACCCACCAAAAAAGACCTTGGTTACTGTATAGTGGTCAGCGGCTGGTGTGATACACTATAGCTTTCTGCATCCGGGCCAAACCATCAGCAACTATTGTGAGGAAGTTGATAGAAAATACCGAAAATTCAATCAGCAGCAGCTGGCTGGTCAATTAAAAAGGTCTGATCCTGCTCCACAACAACGCCCATCGGCAAGTTTCACAAATTACCGTCCAAAAATTGAACGAATTAAGAATCGAAATTCCGCCTCACCCACTATACTCTCCAGACTAGTTTCGGGCTCTTTAGCCACTCGTCAGTGCAAGATAGTGACCATCATCAACCTAAAGTCAATAAAATTCTGAAATTCTTTCAGAGTATTTCATTCCTCGTCCGAAGTTGGAGCGAACAACAATGAAATACTCTGAAAGAATTTCGATTTTTAATTATGGAATATCATTGACTTTAGGTCGATGATGATCACTATCTTGCACTGACGAGTGGCTAAGGGGCCCGAAACCGGTCTGCAAGTTTGCCCGTTCCAAAATTGTAGGTTGACTCTCTCAGTTGTATTGCCAATTGCATCATATGCAGGAAATTTTCTGTGAAGATTCCTGCACTGACGCCTGTCGGATACAATCCAACGCCGTTCGTGGTATTAACCAGTGGAGTAGTTGTTTTCTGATAGGCGTCAATCCATTCAACCTACTGTGTAGGTATATCCGAGACTGGCTTGAACATTTAAAGTTCATTTCTCTAGATGTGTTTACTGCCTGTCGTCAAACATAGCCCACTGACTAGAAAACTTAGATAACTTTCTTACTGGTAGAACCTCCACCAATCAGGACCAGGCAAAAGCGGACTTCCTCGACTTCATCGAATCCTGAACACCCAAATTTCATCCCTTCGGAATCAGTCGACTTTTGTTACATTAGCAAAAGTACACTGATTCAAATAGCGCTCATTTCGAGTAAATTGAATGACTATTCACTAAGATAATACAGATTGAGGTAGACCAATAAAAACTGACAAAACTCTTGAAACAACCTAATGAATTGAGCTTTCGTTTATTTTTTCAAATGTGAAACTTCTAGAATATCGCAACACTTTATTATGCTTTGGTTATCTTCCTGTAACTAGAAATCGCATATCAAAAAGTAAGACCTCGTTAATTTTGAACTCGGACAAGTTCCAACTTCAGGTGGTTGTCATTTGTAAGAGGACGTACGGCACCTACTATGGTTATCACTGTTCTGGTTAGGCTATGTTATTTAATACCTCAGCCATCTAAGGAGGGTCAATACTATTCGCAGTCCCGTCAGTTATGTAACGTAGTAAAATCAACCCCCTTCAACTGAATATTATTTTTCTAATAGGGCAAAAAAATGAACACCTTTCTCAACAAATATAGTCATCTTCAATGGTGTCACTGTATATAGCGAAATTCATTAGTAGAATCACTAATGTTGACCCAATATTTATGTAGAACATTAATTTTGTTTCTCGTGTTGATCTGATATATTTCAATTGTTTTTAATTATTCGAGAAATGAGGTTGGCATGTCATCCTGAAACCACAAACGAAGTTGAAAGAAGACAGAAACAAAAAGTGATATTGCAATCTTCATGATAAATCGTTAGCAGAGGCTGAAACAAATATTAAAGAAAAAGCATCAGAGGTATTCACTTACCTTGAAAACATTGTACATTGGTACGTCTTTGTCAAGAATTTGTTTCAAGACACCGGCTGCTAGAAGATACGTGCAGAATTGTATTGCCAATAATTTCAAATCCTGTCCGCTGAAGATACTACTGAAATGATCATCTTCATTGAATTCCGAAAGGTACCAATTGATCAACATATGGCCTGAAATAAATAATAAATTCGAGTGTTTTGAATTAGGCAATGTTAATATANTAACATGTGACATTTTTTGAACATTGAAAGTGGCATACTTAGACTACCTTCAACAGTTAGTCATATGCCACAGTGTATTTTCCTTAGTCTAAAAAAGGTGACATGTAGTGAATTGTTTTGTCATATTGTTGTAAAGCGACCCAATTTCTTTCACCTGAATATGTTGTATAATGTTTAGTTATATAATTATATAGTATAATTGTTACTATTCTTCAGTACTTGTGATGCACTCAGGCCCGTCGTCAAGGGGGGATGGGGGGACCTTCCCCCCTGCTATTTCGACTTGGGAAAAAGTTGGGAATTTTTTTCCGTGAGATAGAAAAAAATAATAGTAACATAATGAATAAAAATAAAAAAATAAAAATTCCCGAGTTATCCAATCAATGCTCCAAAAATCGTTATTATTTCGTAAATTCTAAAATGAAATGAATAGCATTGATAAAAAATATTTCTGAATTGAATTATTTTCTCCAAAACAAAATGGGAAATAATTGAATTTACAACATAAACATTCTGTTGGGAAGAAATATAGTTTTACTTCGAATGAATACATGCTGGAATAAAATGGGAAAAAATTGTGGAATAATATCTTTCAAGTTTGAAACAATATTCTGAATTATATGTGGAAATAGTTCTCTACGATGTATACTTTTTTATGAAATCTCAAACAATGAGTTGACATCTGAAAACAACCTCGCCTTTCTCCAACCCTTTCCCTCTTAAGACGTTTCATCTCTGAGGAGGAATAACTCACCTTAAACTTATTGAAATTTGACATTACTCATCCGTACACACAGAATTTTTTTCTGAAGTTCATAAATGAAGATCAAAGTTTTGATGACAATCTAACCAGGGACACTTTAGAATATTCTTACAAAATTCAACATGATTCACTAACCAACGAACGAACGAACTACTGTCAATGTTGCCGACAAATGAGCATCATGGTGAACATCCTTCCCATTGAGGATGCATGGCCTACTGATCACGCTGTTCAGATTATTCAAAAGGCATGTCTAACTAGATATTTTAACTTCCTCAATCTGCATAAATGCATAAGAAATAGAGGTTACAGAAATTAAATTAGAATCGTTCTAGTGAATGAAATAACAATTATAAAGTTTCAAAAAGTTTCCATTTTTAGAAAATTTCCTGTTACCAACTAACTACAAAATTATGGATATTCACTGTAGTTTCCGTGTAGGTCTTGCACTGACCATGCAGGCCTTGGTACATCCGGGTTTGACGTTGGGCACTGTAGAGAAGCATTAGGGCTTGATGTTGGACAATATCTGTGTGTTTATATTGTCTTAACACTTCAATGCGCAATTTTTTCTATAGCCCCCAAAAATATTAATGGATATATAACGGTCTGAATAAACACGGAAAAATCATGCTCAGCTTTTTTCGTTATTTTTTAATTAAAAACTTGTTGTATCAAATATGCTACATAGCGAAAAAGTAATCAGAATATTCAACATGTATGAAATTTGTGAAAACAGTTATTATTTTTGTTTAAGCAGAAGTGAAGTCCACATTTGGAACACTTCATGTAAGAAAATGACGAACATTTGGGAAATTTGCACCTTTGCCGTTCTTGAGTGCACAAAGGCCAATGTGACTGGCCATCTAGCCTCACATCTTTTGGAGGAATATATGCAGTTGTTGCAGATCTTTTCTTTTTCTCCACAATTTCTTTCTCAAGATCCGATGGTCTGCCTCTTTTTGATAAACGTTGACTTCCTAGGTTGCATAAACAATAGGCAACTTCAGCCCTGAAGTCAGCCAGGTTTATATATTTTTGTTCTTTTTTCTGCATAAGAGAACGCCTATAAAGGAGCCAGGCATTGACGAGTGTCATATCAAGAAGGTGATAAAATAATCGCATATACCACTTCTTCGATTTTATTTTGATATGGTAGCGTCCTATAAGACTATCCATGAGGTCGACGCCCCCCATATGTTTGTTGTACTCTAGCACCAAATTTGGACAATCAATATTTATCCTCTGCTTGGATTTTCTATCGTACCTTTCGATTTTTCCCTTCGGAAGTTCTCCACTATATGTTGATAACAAACAAACAGTCTTATTATCCTTCCAGGCAACTGATGATATGTCTACGCCCTCGAAGTCACAGAAAAATTCAACCGAAAAACCTCGATCCAATTTCTTTATCTTGTCTTCTGATGGCAGCTTACAGTTTGGTAAACGATTACGTCTTACGGTGCCTAAGGAATAAATACCTCTGTTGGCCAGATAATGCAACAAAGACAACGACGTATAATAGTTGTCGAAATAAATGACATAATTTTTTCCATTCGGAACAATCCGTGACAACCTAACAACCACATTCGCACTAGCTCCAAGGTTCGGTTCTTCTGGAAGACGATTTATTTCATCATTTTCTCTACCAGTATAAATCTCAAATTTATATGAGAATCCACTTACACTAGACTAGGAAAATTAGACACTCAGTGTGAATTAAATCGCGGTAAGCAGGAAATAGTTTCAATATCTTATTTTGGTCCTAAATACATGTAATCTGAGTTTGCACAATCCCAGGAGGTGACCTTAACTTTTGAGAGCCCGAAAACCTCAAAATTTTCGTACTTTTTTCAGTTTTCCACAAATAACTCGAAAACCATCTGTTGTACAGAAAATTTTATGCTATTCAAAATTGAAAAGCATTAAATTCTTCGTCGAAGAGTACCACAATCATTAAAATCGATTCAGCGGTTTGGCCGCAATCGATTGTTCAAAATTGGCGATTTTCCCCATTTTAGTGTAAGCTGCCATTTCTTGGCGGTTCAGCATCAACTATCTTCTAATCTGCTTCCCTAATCAATAATACTCATGGAATAAAAGTTGTAGAAAATCTAATTTCCATTTAAATAGACCCATCAAATTTTGAAAATGGTCAATTTCAAGTACTGAAATAAACGACAATGAAAAATATGTCACATCTGGAAGAGCCACCAAATTGGACATCCCTCACATTCAACATTCCTGATTCCTTCAGTTCAACATATTGTTGGTATCGAAGAGGTTGAAAATAAGTTTGTATTTATTTCAAAAATTTTTTTCAAATAATTACTTATTTCTTCGAAAATGAATGAAGGGAGAAGGAGATGGAAGAAATAAATACATCAAAATTATTATAATACTATATTTCAATATTACCAATAATTATATTACACTATTACCATCACTATACTTATATTACTATAATGCAATATCATCAATAATTATTACACCAGATTCACGAGGAGTTGCTGGGTCCCTCCTCAGGCATGGCTGGAGATAAACGGGGTTGTTTTGCTCCTGGTGGACACTCTTCCAGGAAATCTTCTGGCCGATGTATGATCTCCATTNCAGGATCTGGCAGCAATGCGTTGCTGCCAGCTACCGCTGCCAGCGGTAGCTGGCAGCACCGCATTGCGATCTTTACCAACTAGGAATTTTATAGTTGCTGAGTTCGCAGTTGTTTACTCGAATAATTTGAAGAGAGACTTTCCTCCACTCAGGTAGTTCCGATATAAAAAAGAAAAACATGTGGAAAACGCCAAGGAAATTTATTCAAACACATCTGTTGTGTTGAAAATATAAGCTGTCGAAATAATCACACTATTTTTCCATCTAAAACTCAAAATATCCAGAAACGACGAACTTCTAAGAATCTGAATTTATGACTCTCGATGAGAAATGGTTCTCGAGAAAATGATAAAATGGAAAAATACAGTTTTCATGTAATTGAAGCGATATCTATAAAATATTTTTTTTTATTGAATACTTCAATTGAAAAGTTCTCATCAATCTTATTTGACAGTCCTTCCCTGTTATCTTGTAGACGATAATTATCACACCAGGTGATCAAAGTACTGTTCTGCGCAGTTGAGGTTTATTGGTTTCAAAGTCTTTTTGATAAAATACTTGAACTCTCGTTAGCAGATCAAATTTATATTGGTGTCCTTGTATAAATTATATCTGCTTAATTTGGATGATATATCTCGAATAAAGGGTTGTAATTTATTCAACATCTCAACTGTGTTCTGTCGAAAAATGTTTATCTTGTATCTCTCAGGAACGTAGAGAAAAAAGACCCTTTTGGAAGATGTACACCCAGGGCCGTCGCCATGAGGGGGGGATTGGGGAGGAGCCTCCCCCCCCTGCTTTTTCGACTTGGGAAAAAGTTGGGAAGAAGTTGGGAATTTTTTTCCGTGAGATAGAAAAAAATAATAGTAACATAATGAATAAAAATAAAAAAATAAAAATGTGAAAATCGGCTGTTAATCGTGTTAAGTTTTGAATCTGTTTGGATTTACTCGTTCATGATTCACAATTTATCTTAATACTCTATATTCTCAACTACCTACGCCGTAGGTTAGGTATATTTCGAGATTGCAGTCCATTCCAATAGTCATCACATCACAAATCTTGAACTAGCAATACGACCTATTGAAATCCAATGTAGAATACAAATTCAATTTCATGTTATACAGCATCCCTTATGATTATATGAAGTTTTTTCTTGGGGGAAAATGAAGCATGTCGCATCAAATGAAAAAATTCTGATTTTTTGAATTGGTTTTACTATATTTCTCTTCAAAATATAATTATCTAACTAACCCGCACAGTCCAGTTCCCAGAGACCAAAAAAGGGGTTCACCTTATAAAAGATGGGGTAGAAGATTTTATTTTTTTTATTTCGTTTCAATGGGTATGTAGTGTTGAGCTCGGCTCAACTTTTGGTAATCGAAAAATCGCGAAATTTTCAGACATTTTTCGGTTTTTTCGCAATATCTCGAAAAGGGGTATATCTTACGAAAAACAATTCCCATACAAAGTTGTAGAGCATTAAATTCCCTACAAATTATCACTGATTTCTTCTTCTACGACCAATAGGCAGCGAGCTACAGCATCTCAAAGATGGACCATTTTCCTCAAAATG